GCGGCTGATGCCAATTTGAGTCCAGGTTCTTGCACTGTGAGCGCATCGTTCGCCTACGTATGCTTCCTAGCGCTCTCTCACTAGGAACGACACAGAAGGCTTGATATTTAGGAATCATGGTGACGGCAGACTACAAATGGTCAAAACAATGTGCCACAGCGGCGCACCGTGTCCGTAGAGAGCTTTTAAGACTGAGGTCGGCACTGACATGTAGGAATTCGGAGAAATTTGTACCTCTATACATGGACATTGTTCGACCGCATTTAGAGTGTTGTATACAAACCTGGGCTCCCTTCTTCAAAAGGGATGCCGCTTGTCTCGAGTGATTCGAACGATTAGCCACAAGGATGATCAAATAACAGTGAGGGAGGCCGCATAAACAGAGACTGCAAGACCTTGAACTCTTCTCCTTGGAAAGAAGAAGACTCTGAGATGACTAGATAGAGACATTCAAAATATGAATGGCCTATCAGGGACGGATGAATCAGTGTTCTTCGAGAGGATGCAAAGCAATACTAGGGGGCACATGTATAAGCTGAAGAAAATGTGCACGAGACTAGCGGTGCGTTCAAACTCCTTCAGCAGTGAAGTAGTCAACTCTTGGAATAAGTTATCACAGGAGATGGTGGAGCTAAGGAGCGTACATGTTTTCAAGAGCTCGATAAGCGCTGGTTGAACTTGTTTCCCAAAGTTGAAGCATCGGTTAAGGTTCGGAAACAGTGGTATTTTTTTAGTTACTAACCAACCCAACAAGAGAAAGCTTCCAAATAAGGAGTCTCTCGCCTAAACAAGGAGAAAAGATGTTTTTTCTTTTCTCTTCCCCTGTAGAGGCGAAGGCGACTGGACCGAGAAGAAATCGTGTCGAACTACAATATGGAACACTGGCAGTGGTAGAGCTTACTACCGAAGGAACTCTGGAAGCTTGATTGGCCTTGACCATCTCCTGTCGTGTGCAAATTGACTGACTGACTGACTGACCTCTAGGGAAAAGTGACCACTAACCGGTACACTTTCTCTTTACACAAATGACATCCCCGAGGCCAAAGCTGAGAACTCAGCGTTTCCCCACTGTCAAGGTAAGGGAACTACTTGACAACCCAGGGGAAATGGACTAGTCCAGCATCGGTAACGTGGATGATGGATGGGCTCTCTTTCTTGGAAAATAACTCTCTTAACAGAGACGCGCGTCCCACTGGGGATAGGAAACCCACGGAGCAACAAGCCGTGGTGGAAACCCAGGATCCGCAAAGCCCTGGAAAGGAAACGGTTTCGTCCCATGTAAAAGATGCAAACTCCCGAGAAACCAAGCGCTTAAGATTTTCAG